CCGTGCTGGTCGCTGAGGGAATACAACAGTATGATAAGGGCGTAACATTTCCGTCACACGCTTGAGGTATTCGGCCAATCACAACGCACTGGATAGCTGGCCAATCACAGCACACCTCGCTTTTTCAGACCGATGAGCTTTGTAAAAATCGACGCGTTTCAAAAAGGCGGGGCATAGAGGAGAAACAATAATGTACAGTATGTGGAAAATAATGTGTTTTTTTAACTTTAAACCTCATAAACACATTTCATTACACCAAATACACAAAATAATGTTCTTTTTAGCAGCATCATATGACCCCTTTAAATTTGGGTACAGACCAGAATTGCGATACAGCTTAATGTGACGATTAAACTTCAGAAGGCTATGATTTTATTAAATAAACAGGAGCTCTGCACATTTCGCTGCTTTGTGTTCTGCTGTTACTGGGGAAACAGTTCCGAAAGTTCCTCCTGCTGGCAGAGAATGAATGTGCATTTTCAATAAGGCTGTTGTGCAATACCGGAGGCTGCAGTTTCAGGACCGCATTTCTAGGACCCTATAGTTTTTTTTTTTTATTATTTTATTTTATTTATTTATTTTTTGTATGAATGTATGTATTAGCGGCTCATACTATTTTATAGCTCTTGCTATTCAATTCTGTATATTATTATTTTTTAAGGAATTATGTAGTTGTTTAATTGTATACACTTAATTATTGTCCTAACCAACTCCTAAGCCTAAACCCACTTAAAGTGCAGTAAACGGTAAAACAATTGCGGTACAAATTAGTGTGATTATTAGTACTTTAATAAATGTAAAATAATTTGAATACAAATACTAATTTACAACATCTAGCAGCACAATGAACTGTTTTGCACAGCTAAATAGACTAAATGGAGATTGCTGACACCCCCTCGAACACTGAAGTTCACGCTAGCTCTTACATTAAAAATTATATGGAAAGATAAAAAATTAATAGTTTCCATAGATCTAGTCTTTGCATCAGTTTGTTTGATGTTTGAATCAGGTCTCCTCTGTTGGAATAGAATTGGCTAGATGGCACTGTCACAAAAAAATAGGGTCCTAGTAGAAATGCGGTCCTAGAACTGCGGTGCTAAAACTGCAGCCTCCGGTATTGCAGGAACACAGTATTGGGGTTGTTTTTTAGACTCCCTGTTTTATAACAGTATTGTTTTTTAGGCTAACTGAGACTTGTCATTTGCACTTATATATTGTTGCTCTTTTGTTAGTTTTGACTGCTTTTATTGTCCTC